ATGCTAAATCGTTGCCGATCGAGCTACCGTTTTCCATAATCTTCTTCGTAATTTTAAAATAACAATCCAACAGTTTTGTATTTGTTGGTAAAAACTACAAATAAGTAGTGTGAATTGGAGCTAATTTCAAAAATAAAAAATTTCTAGTACAATTAAAGTAAATGAATAACTGATCATTAAATATTTTCATACATTTAAAAAAGAATCCAACTTCATTAAAGCTACTGCAAAACTGTAAGCGATGGTTTACTTTGCTTTAAAGTTAATATGCTGGACTTTTTTTTTGTATTTACCTCGATGCCGACGCTCTCGAACATTGTAGCTCTCGAATGCGTATGTACGTATACAATGTGAAACTCGTAAGCGCGATATTACACGTTATTCGAGCTGACTATCTGATTTCTTACATGTTCGCGTGCCCCTAAATACAGATCGGTCGTCGGGTATTTAGTCGTGTGCGCGGTCAGTAGCTCGCTTATCTTTTCAAAGATTTTTTTTTTGTTCTTTTCCTCTCTCTCTCTCTCTCTCTGTCCGAGTGAACGACGATGATGCTAGTGTACGCCGATATTCCCATAGCTCCGGCTGGATACATTAGAATACTTGGCCTTTCGTGACTTTTGCACGCTGCGCGATTCCGTATTAGCTCTTCTTAAAATTATGTTTAGTATTATCTACACTCGTCGGAGATCTCCTATAGATAATTGTTGCCAAAGCCCACATTTCCTAGTACGTGCAGCATCGAGACAGGTTATTCTTACACACACATATACTGCCTCCTCTGCATGATCCGTCCAACTTTGCTTCTTTCTTTTCCTGCGGTAATGATCGGTTTGGAAGCTACGCATGAGAAAACTGTGGCCAAGTTTATAAATGAATACGTATAGACGAAATTATAATCTTATGTTTACAAACGTACGGACGCGCACGTATACTCGTGGATGTTTTCGCGAATAAGTTGAAATTTTTTTTACATATCTGCGCAACATCCGAATCGCAATTGAATAAAGCCCGAACGATGCGCGTACATGTGCAGCTGCATCTCGCGAGCGTCTCGCGCAAAAAGATGATTAATAACATTCGCGATCGCTTTAAAATTCATCGATCATCAATCAATTTAACGATAACCAATAACGATCAGTAACAACGTGATATATTGCCGCGTAGCGCATAGGCACTGCTACCATAAATATAATGCGCTCGGCGCAAGAGCGCGCGCAAGCCTATTATTCATTAATTGGTTATGTAAAAATTGAGCTTGAATATTAGGAAAGAGACACATAAACATATTACGTAGTTTCGAGGGCCAAGATGGCAAAAGAAGAAGTCGAAGGAGAAGAAGAAGAAGCTCACTTCCGTTCGGTAAATGTATAATCTCATTCCGAGAAGCTGCGTAGAAGAGAGGAGCGAAGGAGAGAGAAGCTTCTGTTTTGGGGCTGTCGCGCGCGCGCGACGCTCATACTCTTCGTTTCCCATTCTTCGCGGGCTCCAGAGAGAGAGCCAGGGGAACCAAAATGATCATCGCATTAGATGATTGCAAAGTAGCTCACGCGGATGGTAATATAACAGCTCGTTTCGTTTTTCGTTATTTTCGGCGAGGTCGGGCCCGCCACCAGCGCGCGCGAGCGAGCGAGCGAGCTCATGGGAAGAAAACGACGGTGGGAATATCGCTCCTGTCATGCAAATTGCCGCGCGCATATATTCATATATCCCAAAAGCCAAGGGCATAACGGAGACTATGGCCCTTCATCAAGTCCGTATTATAAGATTCTCTCGCTGAATGAGAGAGAGAGAGAGAGAGAGAGAAAGGAAAAGAGGCTGCTGCTGTGTGTGTACGAAATCGACATCGAGCTTGTGCTGCCGTGCGCTCACACGCGTTCGACATTATAATAATATTTGTATGGTAATTTTCGAGGGCGTAAGAGTCGTCTTTTGCGAAATATTCGACTGCTGCGTATAGGTATAGGTATGTCAATTTTAGCGGAAAAAAAATCGTCGGTGCACAGACGTACATAAGCAACGACAGTGGCAGCATAGCAGAGAGAGAGAGAGAGAGAGAGTCAAAGAAGCTTTTACAATAAGAGCTCCGCTCGGCGAAAGCTCGAGAGTTGGCTCTGCGCGGCAGAGTCGAATACGTATGCAAGTTCAAACAGGCAAGTTACGAAATCCCCGGCTCTCGGGCGCTATATTCCCGCTGGCATCTCATCATCTGCCATCGTTGCCCAAATGCCCTGTGCGCCTCTTCTCGTCGCTGCTGCTGCTACACATATATAAAGCGCGTGTATATCCTCGGAAGCACACACACACACACACACACACGTATGCGGGGGCGGCTTGTGACGGGCGCATACGTAATGCTGCTGCGGCTCTCTCGCTATACGCGTAGACGAGAGGCAGCAGCAACAACGCTCGAGCTCCGGCATAATTCCGCCACTGTCCGGCTTAGCGAGCCGTCAAAGTCAGGACTTTGCGCTGCTGCTGGTACTCGTCGTCGTTACTCATTGTCAGACGAGAATAAGAGGCGCACTCACCAGTCAGCCGTAAAAGTATGTGGCATACGTGTATGTTGGATACATGTGTTCTCTCTCGCCGAGCGCGAGCCTCCCGTGTCTATGCGGCAAAGTTAGTACATCATCGATTTTTCATTCTCTTTCTCGTGCTGCGTGTGTGTGTGCGCCTACTCGCGGCTACGTCAAGCCGTTCGACGAGCTCTCTATATACCTTCTTCTCCTTTTTATGCAGCAAACTCCTAATGTACTCGCTATTTTTCGATTTCGAGCTTTCTCTCTCTCTCTCTCGGTCTTTTGGCAGCTTATAAAATACATTTCAGCGGCGTAAGCATGCGTTGAAAAAACGCGTCGCTCGTTTTTAATAAGCACGCGGCCGGCCTCTTAGCTGCACGCGTAAATAACTGCGTCGGTGCCTGTAAATGTGCATATATACAAAATAGCCCCGCGCTCGGTGTAAGATATTCACCGCTAATCACCGCTTAGCCGCTCGTAAATCGCACTCCGACTCTGTGGAGACTGACTTTGCGCGAAAATCGTCCCTCTCTCTCTCTCGCTCCTCGGAGTTGGACGTGCAGCGCGCGAACGGATGATCGCCTCCAGCTCCGGCGCAATATCATCGCTAACCAGAAATTGTCATAAAAGCTGCGCACACCTTTTGTTTTTTCCCTTGGCATCTTTTATTTTCCGTTTCATAAATCGAGCGCGAAAACGAGAGACTTTACTGCTCCTTTGTGTTGTTGCGTTGGGCTCTCTCTCTTGTCTCTTTACAGCTGCGCTCAAAGTACGCAAAGCCTATATACAGAGCGAGTGAGTGAGAGAAAGAGAGCTGCGAGCGACTCGGCGGCAGTCGCACGAGGACGAGTATACTATATGCACGAAGGGCAGTCGATAATAACGAGGTTTGCTGCTGCTGTTGCTGCTTTCTTGTCTTCTTTGCGTGAATCCTACGTACAGCCAGCAGCTTTTCACATTTTTTTTTTTTTTTTTTGATCTTTCGTAATAAAACACTTGGACTTCGTCGCCTTTTCTGCCGCCGCACTATTGCTCAGAGCCTGCCACTGCTGAATCCCATTTTCTTTTTATTGGTTTTCTATCTCTCTGCACCTTGACGACTTGGCCTTTTTTTTTGTGCACTCGCGCGCGCTGGCTACTTGACACTACAAGAGACAATCAATGTTGCGCGAAACGCGATGATGGCATCTTCGGAGAATTTATCAGCAGCGAAATGGAATCTTTGATTTTTATGAAATGTTAATGGCACAATACTCGATCCGAGAGGGGAAAAAAAGCTTGCCCTCGACCGCAAACAAACGCGAAAATGCCTTTTATTGCGCGAGCATCACCCGAACAACAAAAAAATATATATCCTATCTGGAGCAGGACAAATCTGTATTATACGGAAAAAGGTTCTTTCTCTCCGCAGCTAATGTTTAATTCAATGAACTTCCGTGCCCACGTAGACGCGTACTTTTCATTGCGGCTTGTTTTGCATCTAATACGTTAGCGCGAGCGAGCAGCCGAGGGATAAAACGAGAGTCGCATTTACCAGATTGGCTGGCGGCACTTTTACATTCGCACGTACACGAGAGCTTTTACACCGATGTATTATGGCTCGTACGCAGCGGTCATTGCAGCCGCTTCTATCTATATGTAAAAGTTACACGACTCGACTCGATTTGATTTGCATCGATTGGAGAGCGCTGTGCATTTGACGTCGCCCCGCGCGCCCAGTGACCAGATCTCTTTGCCGTATGGTCTAAAGGTACTACGCGTAAAATGGAATTTCACTTCTGTATTCGCATAGAGCTGCCAGTGAGAAAGATTCGCGGCGGTTAAAGAAATTGCCAATGCGTATGGCCTTCCGTGCTTAATGGCCCGCATCAGGATCGCACGCAATCGCTATCCCATTGTTGCATATGCTCCCAATGCGGAAGAAAGGATGCTCTAGCTCGAGCTAGCTTTTTTCGTTCTCAAGCTTGCACTTCGGTCGAGTGAGATTTTTCATCGGCTAATTCTATCTGTCGAACTTACATAATCAGCCAATTTTCGTACTACTGAGAAAGACCTGTAGCTGGAGTCAACCTTACTAACGGTAAAAATCAATTTTGACTGCGTGCAAAGGTTTCGTACTCGTTGTTGGAAACTTTACGTATCATATTTCGTGTCTGGAGCGGGCCACTTTCAAGTCTTGATAAATTCAATTGAGAATCTCGATAATTTCTGATCAATCATAGAAAACAGTCTTACATATTAAACAATAATTTATTTTCTTTTATTGAATGCGTTTTTGATTTTTTACATTATTTACATAATATATTACTGCCTTTTTTGCACTGAACAATGAAAGATTTTGAATTTTTTACTGAAAACGTTGATAAATAGTTTTATAGTAAAAATATGAATTAAAGTTATACTCTTTAGGTATCTTTAGCTAACAAAGTTGTTCATTTAAGATAAATTTCAATCTTTGCCCTTAAATAATTACTGTATACGTTATTTAGTAGGCTTTTCTTCATTATCAGACATTGGGTCGGCATTTACGAGCCTCTGTTTTTCTCGTAATTCTAAAATCGCTTGATGATTGTTGACAAGTTTTCGAACGAGAGCCGACCTTTTAGCGAGAATTTTGAAAAGGTCCTCTTTGAAATTTTCTTGCCTTGCCTCGCCTACAACGTCGCGTTTCAATTCCATCTCCCAACGATCGACGTTCAGATGCTCGATGCGATGATCGACCTTCTGATTTTTGTCTTGTAAAATAGTTATTTCATCGAGGACATCGTGTAATTTTATCCGCCAGTCGTGCAAAAGCTGCAATTAAAAGACCGTAAATCAAAGCAATAATGACATTGAAATAACTGACGAATAAAAGTACTTTTTCTTCCTTGTTTTTCGTCGCTTGAATGTGCCTCGTCAAATGATGTAGTATGTCGTCTGAATGCAAATCCTTTGAAATTCCTGCGATGTATTCTCGAATTTTTCTCGTTACCATAGCCACCTTCGCGTAGTAAAGCTCTTCATTGGCGAATTTCAACTCTGTCCTCAAGCAGCGATCCACCCACTGCTCGTAAACGATGTTCTTTTCAAATTTCATACATTGATCGATCCATCGAACTTTTTGACGGCCCACGGCAATAATGGCTTCGTTGACCGTGTCTATTTGACACTTTGGCACCATAACTGCATTCTCTGAATCACCAACCTCTCCCTTGGCGTCAGCGAGCTCGATTTGACCGACTTTAAGGACCAGTTGCAAAGGTGAGTCAATCATTCCCTCTCTAATTTCAATACGGCGCCTGTTAATTTCATGTCTCATATCTTCGATCTCTTTGTTCAGTTCGTCCATGAGTCGAGTTCGTTTGTCCAAGGCGAATCCCACGTAATCGAGGTCGTGATTTAGAGATCGTTTTTTCAGATCTTGCTCAATCTATAAGCATGGGCAAATTAATATATCGTTCAAGTACAGTCTTGTACTTCATCGGATTAAAGCGATTACTTTTTGACGTCTAAAAGTTACGACTGTTTTCCATTGAGCAGGCTCGATCGTACCTGCAAGCGTCACAGGACAATGATCCATGAAATTTAAATTTTTTAAATACTCTCGACACTCGTTTGTCAAGTACGGCTTTTTTTGATCCACGAGTATAGATTCAGATAGGTCGTACACCTCGGAAGACGATCTAGTTTTCAGAATCGTTCGCGGAGTCTTCCTGAACTGCGACAACATGGCCATTTGAACGTTTTTACTGACGCCCGTCAAGTCAGCTCTAAATCGTTTTTCGATTATTTTATCTTTGGCTAGTAACTCTTCCAATTGGTCTCGGAGTTGTTGTTCCAGGGCGTCGAGGAACTTTATTTCGGTGGAGAATACACTCAATTTGTCGTACTTCTCTTTTACTCGCACCTTCATTTCTTCCACCTGGTCCAATGATTTTATGAATCCTTTGTATCTAGTGATTTGCCTGCAGATTACTAAATTCAACTGCTGTACCGCAGCTTGCACTTTCATTCTCATCTGGAAGATTCGAAATATCTCAGTTTCGCCTCAATGTCTCAAATATGATTTTAAGATTACGAACCAAATGAAGTTGTCCAAGGCGCTTATTGAACCTTTCGATGCTGTTCTTCAGGGTAGTTTGGATAGTCTCGTAATCGGTGAGTAAAATATTTTTGTACTTGAGTCTTTCGTTCGTCAAGCGTTCTAGTTCCTGCTCGTACTGTTTAATGGCAAGTTTATCGTCGTTGGTGTACTCCTCTGGTCTTTTTCCTATCCTCTTACATTCTGGTTCGGGTGGATCATGCTTGATGAGATCCTCCCATTTTACCTCCAATACACCGTCCATCATTCGCTGCAACGCACGATCTCGATAGTTATCGGCCAACTTCGCTCGACGCATTTTATCCTCTTCTTCTTCCTGAAAAATTCACATATACGTCAAAATCTATAAAAGCGCATGGTTTCAAGTGTCAAGATTGCATGCCTTGCTCCTCATAAGCTCTTGATACGAATTAGAAACGTAGACCTGCGCCGAAATCTCCGAGTCCTTCACTTCGATAATTCTCTCGGGCTTTTCTTTGGCCAGCCATTCGGGATACTCGTAAGAGCCCTCGATAGTTATACCAAACATGGTTTTCAGCTCAGAGAGTATGAAAAAAATACGGTCGATCATTTCGTACACGACGACCATTTCTCGTTCTTTCACCGCGTAAAGTTCGTTGAATTTTTCATTGAAGTGCAGACGCAGATTATGCATGTCCATGGACATGGTTTGCTGTCCGCTCTTAATCTGAGGATACGAATAGACAGCACATTGCGGATAATACGGAGAGTACGGTTCAATGAAACGATGCGTTGTCCTTCCTGGAAAATTAACGTTATATCGTCGTGTACAATAAAAGCAAAAATACAAACATGAAAATCGACGAGAAAATATCTGAAACCTTTAAATAAACTTGCGTCGGAATCGTCACTGACTTCAGCAGGAAAAATGGTGTCAGCCACGGATTTGAAATCTGACTGTCCAGCTATACTTTTGGCGTCCTGTTTCACAGATTGTTTATCCGCTGGATCGACGGTATTTGGGTCTATAAGCAAATCAAAAACATCTTTCTCTCTGGCCCCTGTCACCTCCAAATTCACTATGCGCCCGAACTTATAGAATTCGACAAGCTCCTCCTTCTCTTTCTGATCGATACCCACGACGTAATTCGTAACTTCGAGCTGTTTAAAAATGCCGAAAATTGACCGTCCCAGAACAACCTGATGGTTCCAGTATTCCGATTGGATGTGGTCGGATATTCGATCGCGTTCATAGCAGCTTCGCTCCAATCTGAGTTTCACTTCTTCTCGTTCGTCTTTGGCTACTTTGATGGTTTTGTCTCTAAAACGTTTGTCCAGATCGAAAGCCGAGATCGGCAACTTATAAAGCTCGTCCATCTTTTCGTTTGCGTTTAATAAATTTACGATTTGGCTCTTCAAATCCATGAAAGTCGCCAATACTGCTCCTCTTTCATGTGCATATCGCAACCTTTCTTCTTCTAAATTTTGCTGTTGCTTCCACTGTAACCAAGTCAAACCTTCCGAGTTCTCATGGTGGGCTATTGCCTTGGAGGATTCCTCCAAAAACTTTACAACTTCTTGGTCCAATAACTTGAGGAGAGCACTATCTCTGTGGATATGAATGATAGAGAAAAAAGTTGTATAAAGCTTCGGCGAGAGATCTTGGGGACTGACGTCAGGCTCGCCTCGTCTCATAGCCGCCAAGGAACCATCCCTACCTAAAGCAAATATAAGATCGGCGTTATATGAAGAAATCGCCTGATGTGTCCCTCCCAATCTTGAATGATGAGTAAAAACAGAAATATTATTTTTCTGCCTGATATCACCAGTTCGAATGATGACTCTACCATCGATGGAACACGTGATTACGCATTTCTTATTTGCCCAAAGATTCACTTGCTTCAGACTGTGGCTATTAGACATTATATCTGTACACACTAGTTCTCTCCAATCGTTCAATTTCTCTATTATCAATTTTCTCGTCAAATAGGATGTTGAGATTATTGAAGTAGGCTCTCCTGGCATATAGAACAATTTTTGATAGAATCGCGTGTATCTCCAGGCAGCCGAGGCTCTTTTGCTTTCCGGGTGGTGTTCTGGAAGATCGTAGTAAAGCAATCGGTGCCCGATCCACAGATTCGTTGAAGAGCAGTCAAGAGCGTAGAGCCTCAAGTGAGAATCGGTGTCGTACAATAAGACGTCGGTTATCTTTACGGGTACTACGAAGCGACTCGCCACATCGATTGGCTTATCGAGCGAAACTTTCAAGAAGTAGCAAACGCCCTCTTCTCTATGACACACCGCCACAAATCTGAAATTAATAATTTTTATCTCAGTCAGAGTCAAAGAGTCGAGTTTATGTTTAATTCTTTTTCAATGAATACTGCTTCTCTATAAACAATAAAAATATCGATATTGTATTGATATTGTACCGAAAAACCAGACAATATCGGTACAATTGAGGACTGAACGATACCGTCAACGCGTAGCGTCGAAATTCTGTACCAGCGTATTAGGGCAATTTTGACGAAATAACATGGGAAATTCGATAAATCATCATTTTTAATTGAAAGTACATACCTAAATATGAATTTAGCAATTTTAATCCTATTAAAAAGGTGATAAACAAGTGTTGATAAACAACATTTATTTGACAACAATATTCCAGTGCCGCACAGCGTGGCATTATTTAGCCGAATCGATAAATTTGTAACTAGCTGTGAAAGTACCTAAAAACACCTACAAGAAAAAAGTAACGCATCGTTTCGATAGGAAATTGTCTCAGCTTTCCGATGGTGAGCTCAGATTTTCCGAAATTTTCCGTTATACCCGAGAAAATCGACGGAAAAACTTTAAACTCCAGAACACATATATCAGCCAGACATTGATTGCTAGGAATTTGTTTGGTGCCATTTTCACGCCACATGCACTTGAAACTTCTAAGCGGAAAAGGGAGAAATGAAGGTGACGATTGTTTCGGACTCTACGCTGCCGGTGTAAATACTATTTTGTGTAAGTGGCAAATTTAGCTCTTCATTTAATTTTCACTTTACTGATTTGATTTATTAATTTTCAGCCTATACAGCTTCATGGTCTAAGCTAACAAATTATCTACGTGTTGAAGAAAGAAGAATAAGAGCTTTGTTAAGCAAACTGCTGCGGGCGCGAAAAAATGCCACAGAGATTTGAGATATCGACAAGAAAAGTCAAATCAAACCTTAAAATCCATTTTTCATTGATCATTATGTTTTTCTATCATTTGTAGATTATTTGATTGTGTTAATTTAGTTAATTTATGTCATTTACTATCGTGACGGGTAGGGGGCTACATAGCGACCGGGTCAAGAATACTGATTTGAAAATTGAACAATATCCTTCTGGTACCGGAATTGGGGTGTAATAAGGTGCTTTTCCGGGCCGGATACGGAGCCCATAAGTTTAAAAAATTTTTTAAATGAACTTCAGGTCCCGTTCAGGACCTGATCAGGCCCAGAGCTTTTATTACATCAATGATTTCGTATATAAATTAGCAGACAGTGTATGTTTGTAAGCGTTGAAAGCACATAAAATTAATAATTAAAATGTTTTCTCGCAAAAAAGCTGCGAATAGATTAAGCGTGAAAGATTATCGAGATAAAATAAAACTCATACGTGCAGAATATGGTGAAAATAGTGATAATAGTGAGATAATAGTATTATAGTGAAAATAGTGAGAATAGTGAAAATTTATATTGTACTTCATATTTTATAATCATGTCGAAAATAACGACTATTAGACTGACTAGATTTTTACAATAGTTAAAAAAATTTTAAAATTGTACTATTGTATTTTATATTTTGTTAATAAATTTGTAATTAACATAATCTTAGTTTTTTCTGTTTTTTCTTCCCTTGAGCGTAATTACATCTAAAAATAATAATTCTAAATCAGGCAATTTCAGAGCCTTAACAGTCCCAGATATATGCGTGCTTACACGAGAGGGGATAAACTTCAAGAGTTTTTGCAGGCCCTGATAAAGCCCGCAACAGGGCCTGATTTCAGTAAATACTTATCCGGTCCGGTATTGAACCTTATTACATTCCTCATCAGGGCCAAGTCTGGAGTCTGATCCGAGCCAGATTACTAAATCAGGCATATATTAAATTAAAATTAAAATTGTTAGTGGAGAAGATAAAAAAAGTGCTAATGAAAAAATAATACTTATCCATTTTATTACTGCTCGAAACTTTTTGTCGTCTGAGCCATGACTCGAGATCTTACCGTAAAATTATCGAGTTTGAAGTTTTTCCGTCGATTTTCTCGAGTATAATGGAAAATTTCGGATAATCTGAGCTCACCATTGGAAAGCTGAAAATTTCCCATCGAAATGATGCGTTACTTTTTCTTCTAGGTGCTTTTAGGTACTTTAACAGCAAGTTACAAATTTAACGAGTTGACCAAATAATGCCGCGCTGTGCGGCACTCGGATATTTGACATTAAATGTTTATCAAACACTTGTTTATCAACTTTTTAATAGGATTAAAACTGATAAATTCATATTTAGGTATGTACTTTCAATTAAAAATAATAAATGTACAAAATTCATTGTGCAACATTTATTATTTTATACAATTATCGAATTTTCCATGTTATTTCGACATAATTGCCCTACAATTGTGTGACAATATCGAGATCAATACGATATTCAAAATATTTTTTAGCTAATATTATTGTATGGTCCCAACTTAAAATGTGATGGGTAGCGAGTGTAGCCGCCACTTGTACTAGTACCCTGAAGAATGCTCTTCTTCTGCGGGTACGGGGTTTCGTTGGCGCTGGGTCACCTGGCGGTCGAGTCGGAAGCTTTTAGTAGAAAATCGGCGAAATAATGAAACGAGTTGTTTAATTGACCAAGTTCACTATTAAAAGAAAATTGCTACAGGTCAAAACTCTTCGGGTGCTCATTCAGCACAAATCCGAGTACGAGTGACGACGTGCTCTGGCGCTGCCGAGCAGTGTACACCGGTGAAAGTCCGAGAGCCGAGTGTTTGTGTGTCGGCCAAAGGCGCTCGCTTATACGGAGGAGCAAGACGTGTTCTATAGTTGGTCTACACCGTGAGGTACGGATGCGTGCAGTAGTCTCTGCGCGTGAGTCAGGACAACAAAACGTTGTGATAATTCTATTGTTCTCAATATATTACGTTTAAGTATCAACCTTGTAAAAATGAGCGTGAGGCTTCACAATACAAACGTTTAATGTGTAGCAAATTTGTCTACATTATTCATGGATGCTCAAACTCTATAGGTCAAAAAGAAGGTTCGGGTAAAAAAGGCCGTGTATTAAATGCGATAAAAGTAAGTTTTGGTTAATAATGAAATGTTAGAAAAATTATTTGTAAAAGTAACAGATCTGTAACTGGTAGCTTAGCACACATTGATAATTTTTCACTAAGCCGACGTGCCCGTTGCATTTAATAAATTACTCGCGCCTTGGGCCATGGTCGCTCAAGCGGCGATATAAAGTCCAACTAAAATAAGTTATAGATCTCTTATGCTTACAAGTATTTTTTCTATCAATGTAGTAAAAATCATAATGCGGTGACTATAAGTAAATTCTGCGTAATTTAACTTGAAGAAAAAAATACAATTCTGTAGTGATATGCTCAGATAAAGAAACGAACCTTCCAGACTGGGAGTACTTCAACAAGTCCAATTTTCCTTTCTGCAGTTTCAATTTGCCCAAGATCACTGGTTCGAGGTAATGAAGCATGCTGACGAACATCACTTCGCCGCAGTCCGAAGTCACCACCAGTAAAGGAAAGTGTGGATGGCACTGGAAGCACATGATTCTTCCCTCCAAGGGCAATTTCATCCGAGCGATTTCTAAACCGCCGTGGGCCTCTATCACCGACAGATCCATTGTCTCGTCGATGGCTAGTACCGTCTCGACCCACGGATGGACGATACTCATGAAATGATAGTGGCCACCGAAGAAGTGCATGAGCTCGAACGCGGGTTGGCCGTTCTCCTGTATGTGAACGTAGTAGAGGTGACCCTCCTCCGTCACGAAGAACAGCTTGTCGTTCTGAAACGGATAGGAGGTTAGCAGTCGAGGACGGTAGGACACTTTTTCCGACCAAACGCTGATCCACGGCGACGAGGGCTCGCGAGGATCCTTCCTGCTGTAGAATCGTAGGTCGCAGCAGGTGGTGCGCAGCACGATACCGCCGCGAAACCAGGTGATGCTCGGCAGGGCGTTGTTGGGACAGTCGGCGCAGCGTTGCGTATCGACGATCCGAGTTATTTCGAAGGTCAGCGTGTCGGACAAGAAGATGTGGCCCTCGTGATCGATCAAGGCGAAGGCGTTCTTATTGGCTCCGGGCTGCCAGGACGCGTGCTTGATGGGTGGCTTCTTCGGTAGAAAAATTTCCCTGTGGTTCACGATCGATTTGCCCTTGCAGATCATCCGTTCCCAGATCAACAATCGTCCGGACGATTTTCCCACCTGCCACCGTTTGATCCAGTAAGCATTGCACCGAATGATTAAAATTTAATACTTTTCGCGCTCACCTGAATCAGAAAATTGGGAGTGAAGTAACTCGCTCTTAGTACTAGATCAAAGGCGTTGGACTCGTGCAGAATCGAATCTACGGAGGTGATTCTCTGGCCAGTCCTCCATGACCAGAAGCAGAGTTTGAAGTCTGGCGCTGAGCTCCAAGAGACGAGATAGTCACCGCAAAATTCCGTCACCAGGTAAGTCCACATGGATCCACCGACGCATTCGCTTATCTTCGTCATCGACGGGTAAGAGTAGATATGAATTCGAGGTTTCAAATGCAGATCTGTGTACGCGAACATTTGATAACTGAAACGATGACAGATGAGTGAAATACATTTGATTCTTGGCATAGATCAACGAGGTAATTACGTGTGATGGCCCGAAATAGATCCCACTCCGTCTTTGGTGATTTTCTCGGGAAATCTGGGTATTTGCACTCGATTGGTGGGTACGTCGAGAAACACGAGGTTCAATCCCGAACACCAGGCCATTGTATTTTGGCCGACCCATGTCACCTGGGCGATGTTCCCTCCGCGCTTCCATGCTAAATGGTAGGTATTTTCGTCGGCTGCTTTCATGAGTGATCTCTATACTCGACGATCGAAATTCAACGATCGATGTATTTTCACGAGAGAAAGAAGGGGTTAGCTCTATCAACGCGAAGTCTGCAGATGTACAAGTTTCGATCGATGAATGAAAGCTCGTCTCGAATCTCGTCGAGCGAGCAACTTACCGTATAGCCTGCTTGGCTGAGTCAAAAAATATTTAAGCATGCATGTTTGAAAAGGTATCGAATGGACACTCGAACTGGTCGAAGAAGAGAGTACGAGTATATATGACGAAGCACGATTGGGAACGCTAAAGACCACACGCCGGCTATAGCTCGTCGTTGGCTCTCATAATCTAGGATACCACCACGGCAGCCACGTAAATGCACGTAAGATGCAGCGTGGAAGGAGCTTTTGCACGCGCGCAGCTCGCTCCTCTGCTGCTGCCGCCGCTGCTGCTGCTGTCCATAGAGCCAAGGGGAGGAGCAGCTAAACGCGCGTCGCTATTATATTTCTGAGCAATCATTTATCAGTCTTAAAGCCATACTTACTACTTGGCGGTGTATCCATCATGAGTGCAGCGGCAGCAACAAAATTGGCTGCTATCGTAGCGTATATATACCTAGACACACGTACACACGTATATGTATATAAGGCAAGCTGGCGCAGAAAGCGAGCGATTCGTGGAAAAGTGTGCATATACAGCCGCGGCCGACGTTCTCGAATATATCTTGAGCGCGTAAGAAAATCGACGACTGGAATGCGGGGCCTGTGTAAGCTTTGGCCTTCGACACGGGATGGAAAATATCGGCTCGAAAGAAAGAAAACGACCCGAGAGAGAGAGAGCAGAGATAAGCCTACGTGCGTATTAATAAAGACCATTTAAACTGCCGATCTCTCATAATGACGTTACGTGAAACTCTGTCTACTACTTGATTTGCAGCGCACGCACACGCGTGTGTGTAAAGTATTTTGTTTTCAACCCCGCACCGATGGCTGAAAACTTTGCGCTTATTACATATCTTTAGGTACGTATCGGGGATTTTCATCGAGGCTCGTTTAGCGCAAGCTAATTATGCTGCTCTTTCTCGGTACGTCGCGGGCGCAGCCCTATCCAATTGGCATATTTTCAAAAAATCGATCGCGGCTATTTTTCAATTTAGCCCCTCTCTTGCTCTTCATTCGAGGAATCGCATTGCGGGCGATATAATTGCAAATCCTACACGATTTCAATGTGCGGAGAATCGCTTATGTACGCGGGCAGCCCAAATAGCAGTATCCAAAATATTCTCTGGCGAGCACCGCACACACACGACGATGATGAACATGCGCGCAGAGGAAAGCGCCTGAAAAGTTCTCACGACAGCGGCATCGGTAAAAGAGAAGCGACGTCGGGCAAATAAGACGAGTGAGCGACAATAAATCGTTCGGCTTTGGTAGAGAGCATGTGTATACGATACAGCATGGGCATAACAGAGCTTTGTGCGATATACGTCCTATAGGTCGTCGTCGTCGTCTCTCTCTCACTTGAGAGTGGCAATCATAATCTGCTACTACTTCTTATACATTACCGAAGCTATATTATATGTGTTGGAGTAAATACGCGGCGGAGGACTGGCAAACCGTATACACACACGTGCATCAGTCGATATATATGTACGAATCATCGAGCGGCAACTTGTGCATGTGCGAATACACAAGTCGATGATGGTCGGGTTGGCGCGCGCGTCTATCCGTCCACATCCGCAGCAGCAAGTGGAGTTGCAGCATGGGTTACACGCGCCGCTCGCGACTACTACTACTACTCCTCGTGCGCGTTGCAATGTATGCTCGCTGTATACAGCTGCCTACCTACATGCACCTACCTACCTACCACTGCACTGCTACAGTGCTGCAACGTATATACAGAGAGAAGGCGCGTATCCCCCGTGAGTGTGGGAACAGCGAGGCGGGTATAGCATTTAATCAGTGGAGGCTAAACTGCACTCTGTGCTCCGTGTGTGCGCTGCACTGCCTGGACCCCACTTGTACATAGCAGCTACGTGTATAGCTATATAGCTCGCGCGACTTTGACTTTTTGCCTGGTTGGGTGGCTGCAGCCGACTGAGAGATGCATGTGCACCGTCTCTCTCTTCTCTCTCTCTCGCTGTGAGCTGCTAAATTGGCGCCAAATTAGTAAGTAGACTCTCTGCCTGCTCTGGGCCTCGCGAGCGATGCCGCCGCGGGCTGCGTGACGCGAGACATTAAGACCGACAGCGAGAGAGAAAGAGAGAAGAGAGAGAAGAGAGCCGGCTAACCTCTTATATGCCACAAGCTCCCTCCTCTTCGTTCCTTCCTTTCCAAGATTCGCAGCAACGACTTGACCTCCCTGTGCTGCATCCCATGCACAGCATCAGCAGCAACTTTTCTCTCTTCTCTCTCTCTGCTACGCGGCAGCAACATATCACATGCAGTATGTGTGTGTGTGTGTGTGTGAGTGTGCTGTAGCCGGATAGTAATCACCGACCGTCAAGAGAGAGCAATTGACGCGCACGGGTCTGCGTGCAGAGCCGCGACCTTTCGCAGCATCACAATGCCAACGTCTCCCTCTCTCTCTTTCGTGTACACCATCCTCGCTCGCTTGCAAATCCTAGTCCTTTTTGCCTTTTCTTCCTTGCGTCGTTCGCTTTTGGATACTGCACTCAAACAGCAGCAACAGAGGGTGGGGGTGAGAAGCTCTTGGACGGATTGTATTTTTCGATTGAACCAGGTGCCACTTTGCAGCCGCGTGTATTGTTCGGGAGCACGGGTTTTTTTGTGTAAAAGATTGATACAATAATGACTGCTCCGAACGCCCGTTTGTTCGCATGTTTTGAGCTTTTTTTCAGAGTTTCGCCGCACAAACAAGTAATATGTACCTCAAATTCGAAACAAACTAAATCTTACCTACTACATATTTTTACAAACTTAATTCCGCTGTCATAGTCTATAAATTGTTACCCCAAGCTTGAAGCAATCGTTCAAGAAAATTGCCTCGATTGAATTTTAACAATCCTCGAGCAATTATATATCTCCCCGAGGTCGAAAGACACGTGTCGTCGTGCACGTCGTTTACGACTATAAATAAAACCTGTGCCTGCGACTCATAACTGCGACTCGTAATGTCGGTTTTATATACGTTACAGCGAAATGAAACTTCGAGCCGCTCGCACGAGACATACATTCGACAAATTTCAGCTCCAGCGCTATCGGAGTTTTGTAATTATCAAACTGTCACAGCTGTGATCCGAGACCGTGCCTAATATACAGCATTATATACACGTATCGCGCAGACCTTCGTGAAGCAAAGTATCGTGTCAAAGCTCCACCGTCAGACATGCAGGGCCCTTTACATCGCCTATGTACGTGTACCCTTTTAACCCTTCACGTGCCGCGCAGCTCGAGACATTTCCTTCCGAATCCGAATGGGGTAAATTTTATTTTTAATCGTCCGATTGCTCGAGTAAAAGTGATTTACGCCGAAAATATAGTTTTTTCCATAATCAAAATTGACTAGAAGTTCATTGTGAATGTGGTTTCGTGGACTCAGCGGATCGGTAAATTTACTGCGTTTCAAAGATTTAACGCTGAAAAGGAGTGCGCAAACGCACGGTTTTATTCGTTCGAGCATCAATTAACAAAATTTATCGACATTGCGCAGGATTGTGCGCCGTGTAATGGATTTTAAATGCCTCGCAGTGATCGAATAGCAACATTATTATATAATAGGGCTACCTTCGATCGTAAAAAATCAACGTGTTTTCGTCGAAATACATTCGAAAAAACAGTTATCGTTGCATTGAAAAACAAAACAATCATCGATGTGTTTGGTTGCGCACTTGACACGGGTCAATGTCCAAAAACGATCGAGACTGGCGAGTTATTATAATCGTCGTCGGTCCAAAACAGTTAAGATTTCCTCGAAAGCTCAGTTACTTGTTTTTTAGGCTTCGATTGGACGTTCCGAGAGACAATGTCAAAATAAAGAAAGAAAGAGAGAGAAAGAGAAAAAAAAAGATGTAAAAAGTCCGTCGAGTCGTGCATCGGCGCAGTAACGGCAGCGAAAAAACAAGCTGCAGGTTGTTAAAATCGTTAAAGTTAGCTGCAGTCGTATAGCAGCAGCAGCAGCAACAGCAGCAGTGCATGATTATAGATTTGTCGTGTGCTCGTCGTTGACTTGTGGGCCCGAGACACGCGCGTACACACACGTAGATATTATATGGCATTTCTAAAACGTCAAATTACATAGTGTGTGTGTGTCTGAGTCGGCTGACTGGAGCTGCTACGTGCTTTCTCCCTTTCGGTTTCTCTTCGCAACGGGTTTAGAGGAGGCATGCAACGGTGGACAATAATTTTAGCCTCTCTCGTTCGCGCGGCCTCAAACCTAGGCAGCACTCAAAGTCGACGTCCTCGTCGTTATATGTGTGTGTGTGTGTGTGTGTGTGTGCAGTTGCAAACAGTACACAACGTAAGAGGCTATAAAAAATAATAGCGCACTTTGCTACTTGGCAGCAGGATCCGACACGACTTTTGTCGAGCGACAGGATCGACACGTAGCCGCGCGCATGCATATAGTCGGAGCGTATTTTTATTTAATGTGCCTCCGGGGACGAGAGCGTGGCGTCTTCGATCGCTCGAAAATAATCCGCGCAAACACGAATGGCTCTACGCGCTATTCTTCCTTCTTCGTTTCGGGTTTGTCTTAATTCCAAAAGGAATTGCTCTCTACTTTGTGACTTTCACGAGCAAGTACGATTCAAGGGAACAAGTGCACAGAAACGCAAGTATATTCGGAGTATGCACGAATGAAGGAAAAAAAGGTCGACAGGACGTGTGCTGGGCAAGACCACACAAGTAGCCGCGTCGCTGACTTTTGCTCCCCGCGCGCAATATATGTAAAGCTTACACGTGTATAATATTATACGCGATCCCATGTCCGCGAGCGCGTCAATTAAGCGTCGTGCGTCCGGCAGCGAATCAACTTCTCTTATGAAGCACGACTTGCCTTATTA